CCCTTAGTGTTTTGCCTCGGTGTGGTGGGGTCAGATTGGGCAAAATTCTCACAGTGTCTCCAGTGTTGTACCCTGTAGGCTATGGGTCAGTGAGGAACGTCTCATAATGGGGCCGGCCATATGGTCCTCTCTGTGCATTGGCTACTCTGAGCAGGGATATTGTCCTCAAGGTTGGTGGCCCAGGGTGTGCTCCACTCTCTCTTCCTCCCCCTTCATTTGCTCCCATGTACTCTGATCAGACCTGTCCCTCCCCCTAAGCTGTATCTTCAGTGCCGTCCTCTGAAATAAATTCTTCTGGGAGTAGGGTATTTTCTTTCTTTTTAAAGACCTTTTACTTTCCTCATGAATGATGTTCATGTCCTCCCTCAGCTCATCAGGTCTCTGTCATTAGTGCTCCATGTGTCAAATCTGTTGACATGTTCTCAAATTCAGGTGGGATAGACTCACGATCGAATTTCAGTTCTCCTGGGCTTGTTTTAATGTCCTTCAGCTGTAACCTGAACTTACAGATGAGCAATTGATGCTCTGTTCCACAGTGGCCCCAGGCTTCATTTTAGCTGCTGCTATTGAGCGTCTCTACTGTCGCTTCCCACAGATGTAGCCAATTTGATTTCTCTGTATTCCATCTGGAAAAGTCCATGTGTACAGTCACCTTTTGTGTTGTTAAAAAAAAAGGTATTTACTATGAACACATTGTTAGTCTTGCAAAATTCTGTCACCAAGATCATATTTTATAACTACTGTCAATTCCTCCCTGATTCTAATTTTTGCATTCTAATTAATTGATAATTAATTGCCAATAATTATCAATTAATCTTAATTGCTTGATTAGTTTCCTACTGAAGATGTTGGTAGAATTCATTGATTTCTTTATCTCTAGCTTTGGTGGTTAGTGCATAATTTTAATAATAGTTGTGTTGATTGAATTTCCATGAAGGTAGATATATATAATCCTATTACTGAAAGCATGATACTTCAAGATAACCTTGAAATGTCCTTTTCAACAATAAATGCACCATGATTGTGTCATTCCCGGTATAGTAAATCATATGATTCTCTTATTCAAAATGGCCACTACCGATCCATCTCTAGCTTGGTAACACCTGAGATATCACTCTTTATTCATTTAATTTCATGTTTGACCACTCCAATTTTCCAAATACATACTTAGCACATTCCAAGTTCCAAGTATTAATTGATGTTTGCAGCTGTTTTTTCCTCATTCTGAATTGTGCCCATCAGCAAATTCAGATTCCTTCTGACCTGACCCGTCTCATCCTCTGACCCTGCCGCCTCTGGCAATGGTCTGCTTCCATCCATTACACCTTCCGCATCTGATAATGTTTCCATGTTCTGCATAAGGTTTTCAGCGGCTACTTTTTCCAAAGGGGACAGCGATTCCTTCAGAGTGGTCTGCTTTAGTCTGGAAGTTACACTAAAACCTGTTCTCATTGGGTGACCCTGGTGGCATTGGAAACAGCAGTGACATAGCGTCCAATATCACTGCAACACACAAGCCACCACAGTAGGACGAACTGGCAGACAAGTGGTGGTTGATGAACTCAGACAACTGATTTTGGTCCTGTGGTCATGTCATGTCTGAATTCATCATAAAAGCTATCAGAGAGAAAACAGATTTTGTTCCTGTAATAGTCCAGTTCTCCTAGATTAAGATGTCTACTTCCCCAATAGGCTCGGCAACTGGCATGGTCATCAACACGGGTGACCGCACCGTCATTGGACAAATTGCCTCCCTGGCTTCAGGAGTTGGAAACGAGAAGACACCCATTGCCATTGAGATCGAGCATTTTGTTCATATTGTGGCAGGAGTGGCTGTTACCATTGGCTTCATTTTCTTCATCATCGCAGTGTCCATGAAGCATCCTCTCTTGGACTCCGTCATCTTCTTTGTTGGCATCATGGAAGCCAATGTGCCTGACTGTTTCCAGGCTACGGTCACCGTGAGTTCATGTTTCCCATACCCTGACATTGTTGACACTTAACATCTATGCTAAGTAAACCCCCGCAGCAAACTGCAAGCCTCCTCTGTCGTTAATGTGAACCCCTGCTCTGTCACCAACAACAGTGGGACATTCTGCAATGATTGCTGCTGAGAGGGACAAAATTCATTGTATATTTTTAATGCCTGAAGGCATTATTCTGAAAACTTAACATTTTCATTTTCAGGATATCTGGCTGTAATCATGCACATTACTTTGGTCCTTACGATCTAGATAAGAAAGATTTGATTTTTTTTTAAGGGAACTTTCCCATAATTCTTTTTTAAAAGAAGAATCCTTGGCAATTTCAACCTACTAGCTTAGGTACGGTCTATAAACCATGTTGTTTGCCTCAATTCTCTTCTCTGTTTTAGAAGCAAAACCTGAAAATCTTCCCAGTTTATTTTTCTGCGGAGCAATTCATTCTTTTGACTCCAAATGCAGCATTCGATCTCCCTCTGTATGGGCTCAACGGTTTAATCCTTAGACAAAAGCCCCCTTCCTCGCTAGTCTTTGTTGTGGAGGCCCTGTGGGTAGAGGGAGAGAGTTTTATATCCAGTTATATGTGAAGGTGGCCTACATCATCATAGGCAAATGATTAAAGTCATTTAATCCTGCTTAAAGTGAGATCTCTTCTGACTCCATGAGATTGTATTTAACGAAATTAGAGCCAGTAGAACCCTTTGAGATCAGGGGGTTTAAAAGAGAGAGCTAAGTCTTGATATGGAGCTCTGAAAATTGAACACAAATACTTCTTGATTTCCCAAAGTGATAAATGACTCCTTTGGAACCAATTGTTTGGCATGTACCAGTTAAAATCTCTCCCATATATTCTTCCTTAAAGATCATATAGCAGATTAGGGTTCCGCCGCTGTGTCCGGGGCAGGGACCCCGGTGGCAGTACCTGCAGGCCACGACCTCTTCGCCTAGGGACTTCGGCCACCCCTGTGCGACAGCTCGACACCCGCGTCCACGCAGTCCGAGAGTCAAGTAGAACTCCGGGCACAAACTGACAACCTGGCTACAGAATGTGCTGCATCCATGAGGACCAGAAGTCGGCCCTGGACCTCGATCCCTATGTAAAGCAGCTCCTTAATGCTCAGCGAAGAGTTGTCTTGGTCAACAACATTCTACAGAATGCTCAGGAGAGGCTGAGGCGGCTAAACCACAGTGTTGCCAAGGAAACACCCCGAAGGAGAGCCATGCTGGATTCAGGAGTTTATCCTCCTGGCTCCCCAAGCAAATAACAAGCCAGAAGATGGGCCACAAAATATCACAAGTACTGTTGTCCCCCAGCTCCCTTGAGAATTCTCCAGCACACACTTAACCCCTCTCTGCAGACCTTGGGAGTGCAGTCTTCCGGTTTTATTTGAAGCACTTAAATCTGACCCACTGATGGGGAGGCCAAGAAACCAACTTTACTGGGCTCAGGATTCCACAGAATTTAAGGCTATTATGGCTCTTGCTTCCTTCCACGAATGAGCTGAGGCTTGTTTTTTTAAGTGTACACTCAAGCCCCACCTCCTTCCCCGTCTTCACCTAGTTAACCTTGTGCCTGATGTGGGGCCTGGGCAGCATATCCTCTACCTGACTTTCCTTGGTTTGCACCGAGGACTTGGGCAAGGGCAGGCAAAGTTAAGAGGAATAATGCCTAGCTGTTGATTACACTGGCTTAATAGCGTTGCTATAATCCCCTGAATAAATGCTTCAAATATATTCAATTGGTTAAAAAAAAATTATATAGCAGATTAGAGACCAAAGCTTACTTTCATAATTATTCATGAGTACAGGCCATAGCAACCTGGTCTCTCTTTCCTGCCTATTGGTACCTCAGGATCATTTTCTTCAAAAGATAAAGGGGCAAAAAGTACTTAAAAGAAAATAAGAATGTTGGCATTTAAGGCTTACAAACCACTAGGTCTGTCAATTCAATGCCATTGACTACATTCTTCAAATTGTGCTTTAGAGTCTCACTATTCTTATCTGAGTTATTTCTCCACAATTAGCATACATTCTCTTCCTGTCTAATCTTTCAAGTTACTGCTGTCAATTGGTCTCATAAAGACAGATCTTCAAAGAGCATAATGCTCAGGGCAGACATTCCTTTTTTCCCTTCACTTTTCATAGTGAAGTTTACAGAGCACACCAGTTTTCCATTCAACAATCTATGCACATTTTGTTTCATGTCATTGATTGCAGTGCCCACATGTCACTTGCTTAACTCACTTCCACCAATGTCTCCTATTTCCATTCCTTTTTTCCCAACCCTTCTGAACTTTGACCTGAAATGGTCGATTATTCTAAAATCTTCAACGGTTGATATAGAACTTTCTATTGTTTGACTAAAAATTGGAGTGAGTTCATGAAGGGCCAAAGGGTTGGAGGAGTCACCTGTCTCTAACTGACAAATAAGTCTGGGTTTTTTTATGAATCAAATGTTCAGTCCACCTTTTTCTTCCTTCTATCTAGGACCTTCTAATGTGGTCCTTTCAGAAGAGTTTGTAGTGGAAGCTGTGGTTCTCCTCGCTTCAGTTGTGGTTCTTTGAGTTTGGGTTTTACTGTTGTTATTAGGTGCCTGCCAGTGAGTTCCAACTCACAATGACCCTATGTACAACAGAATTAAATACTGCCTTGTCCTGTGGGATGAAAGGAGGGCCTTCACAACCCTTGTTGTATCTGAGTCTGTTGTTGCAGCCGCTGTGTTAATCCATCGCTTTGAAGCTCTTCCACTTCTTCTCTGACCCTCTGCTTTACCAAGCATGATGTGCGTGACCGACCTTTCCCAATAACATGTCTAAAGTACATGAGCTGAAGTCTCACCCTCCTCCGTTCCAGGGAGCATTCTGCCTGGACTTCTTCTAAGACAGAATTGTTGGCTCTTCTGGCAATCCACAGTATGTTCAATATCCTTCATGAATACCGTAATTCAAATGCATCAAGCCTTCTACAATCTTCCTTCTTCATTATCAAACTTCCACATGCGTGTAAGGCAATTGAAAATGCCATGGCTTAGTCAGGAGAACCTTAGTACTAAGTGGCATCCTTGCTCTTCAACACTTGAAAGAGGTCTTGTGCAGCACATTTGGGCAATGCATTATACCCTTCGTTTTTTTTTTTTTTGACTGCCACTTCCGTGAGCATTCACGATGAATTCAAGCAAAATGAAATACTTGTAAACTTCAGTCTTTGATCCAATTGTGTTGCTTTTGCTTTCTCGGCATGCTTTACTATCATTTTGTTTTGTTTTCATGTATATGTCTATTTTCAACACCTCGGAGGATATTTAAGGTTGAATAGTTTCAGAGCTTCATCTCATCTCAAGGGCTCCAAATTCTGGGTTTTTCCCCCCTCTTCTGATCAAGAGTCTTCTGTAGAACATTTGATCAAAGTTCAGTAGTATTTTTCTATGCCTTTTTTTCAGAAGTTTTCTCTCTCTCAATAGATGATGCTGACGCTGACAGCAAAACGGATGGCCAAGAAGAACTGCCTGGTGAAGAACCTCGAGGCGATGGGGACCCTCGGCTCCACCTCCATCATCTGCTCTGACAAGACAGGGACTCTGACGCAGAACAGGATGAGCGTGGCCCATCTGTGGTTCGACAATCAGATTTTCGTAGCTGACACCAGTGAAGCTCACACTAGTAAGTTTTACGGAACATTCTTTAGAGCCCAAAGCTGTGGACCTGGGCATAATGGGTAGAACTAACCATGAAAGTTCTGGTATGCACTCTCAGAGGATGTCTTAAGCAGGATGCCTACTTGACAGCACACTGCAGCATTCTTTACTTTCCAGAACAGACCTTTGACCAAAGCTCAGGAACCTGGACCTCCTTAGCCAAGATAATCGCGCTGTGTAATGGAGCTGAGTTCAAGCCAGGACAGCAAAGTGTGCCCATCCTGAAGGTGAGGCATCTGCTTAAGTTGGTCTTACATCCTAGCCTGCTGGAAGCAACTCCAACCGCTCTGATTTGGTACTTGGTTTAGTATGTCCAATGGAGTAAGGTCTGTACCAATCAAGGCACGTCTGACTCACAGGTATGAAGAAAACTTCCTTCCCTTCAACTAGTTTGAGAGTTTGTAAAAATTAAGGATTCTCAGTGTTGATTGAGGTAATTTTGAAAGTTACTTCATTCCAGTAAATGAGTATTTCTTTATAACTTTCCCTCCCTAATTTTTTTTTGTTTGTTTGTTTATTTTTAACATTTTATTAGGGGCTCATACAACTGTTATCCCAATCCATACACACATCAATTGTGTAAAGCGCATTTGTACAT